TCCCGAGTGTCTAAAAGATTCGTCGGGGAAGCTTTATAATTTGAATAATACAATTACGATTATACTTAATTTTGTATAATATTGTCTTAAATTACTTTGAGATCTTAATTTCCCATGGCAAACTGTTGATTGTACTTTTGCCGGAACATTTCACCGAAAAACAATCACAGCTTTGCGTATAAATCTGAACCCTTGGACATTTAAGACAATTAACAACTACGCGGGTATTTAATTTACCCTTACATTCTCTATACAGTTATATGCAATTGATAAATATATTCATCTGCACATAAGGATTAAATAAGTGGGCATTAAACTAATTTACTGAGAAATCGTCATCCGTTCTAAATAATAGTGAAGTGCGATCATTTTGTTTTTATCTGCTCTTACTTTCATTTTATCAATTATTTTGCTAAAACGTATAATTCGCCAATAAACATTTTAATCTCCACTTTCTCTAACACACAGTTTTTCTTACTTTTTTCCCCTAATGAATTCATTACTGATTAATCGTGATGTGAACCTACGTTACCGCATCCTGCCACAAAGGATGACGAATTTAAAATGGTCTTCGATAGAAAGTGTGTTTTTTCTTTCCTTAATTAGTTGTCATAATAATTGGACACTTTACATTCTCAATTCTGTATCGACACAAAAACTCAATCGAAGATATGATTAGAAATAAACTTTCCCAGATTAAAATCTTTTGTAGGCCTGCCACCATGAGAGTCACTGTGAGGCAAATTAGATTTCTGAATTAGCATACTGCTTCTGGTTTTAAGTGATACTTAAATCCCGGAAATTGTTTCCCATTTTGCTATTAAAAGGTGATTGCGATCGCCGATCCCATTTTGTCCATTTCGGTTGGGCTTTTCTCTTAAAAAATGGATGCACTTTCAAATTTTGATTTTTATTAAATCTTAGTTAATTTTCTCTTTTTTCACGAGGTAATGGGAGGGGGTTACAGATACCGTACGCCACTAACTTATTGTAAAATTTCAAAAATTTCCTAACGCCAAGGTGTTCATTCATACACTTCTGGTTGTCCTACTAACCGCACATTATCTAAAAAAGGTGGTTACCTTGGTGGTTACGATGACTTTTTTTAATTGTACCAGATCTTCTCTTGCTATAAAGCTGACTGTGTTGAACAGATATACAGGGTGCTTCCTATAGTACCTGCCACCGTTTGGGAGCGTGTAGGTGGTGCGTAGGGGAGTATTTTGATATAGGACACTTGGGGTCGGAAATCTAAAATAAGGGTGCCAGAGCCAAATTTACCTTCTGGAATTTCGCGCCTGTAGGTAGGCAACCCAACCGGCCGGCGGTGCACACGGAGCGATCTCAGGCGGCGATGTGTGGCTGACACTTGATCAGAATTTTGTTTAAACCCACGAAATCCCGTCTGCAACGACGCGTATCAAGTGAATAAACACTATGGCAATAGTATAATAATAGTTGGCTAGATGTAGGAAGTGCATTGAGAACAACGGTGGCCACGTTGAACACTTGTAAACGTTATTGCTTTTGACTGTCGTTTTCCCTCCTTCCCTCCCATGTCGCTTCCTCGCGCTAACTCGCTCTGCATCGCTCCGCGCGAAACGTCGGTCGGTTGGGTTGCCTACATACAGGCGTGAAATTCCAGAAGATAAATTTGGTTCTGGCGCCCTTATTTTAGATTTCCGACCCCAAGTGTCCTATATCAAAATACTCCCCTAGGCACCCCCTATACGCTCCCAAACGGTGGCAGGTACTATAGGAATCACCCTGTATATTCATGGTAAAAAAAATTGGGGAAACTAAGTCATTTCGGGGAACTGTGAGACTAGTCAAATTTTAAGGAAATTTGGTAATGTAGAAATTAGGTTACGGAAGGAGCAAGAAGTCTTGGTAACATAAGAGAAAATTCTGGAAAATATACATTTATTTCGTATATCAATTGGACAAATTTATACGTCACGTAAGGAAATCTGGTTAGTAGTTTTGGGACAATAAAATGCAAGCTCCAATAAAGTACTATTACATAATTTATACAGTGCTGTGTGAAGCAACCCGGTCGGCCAGTATGATCTACACAAAGATATAAAGTAGGTACTAAAATGCCACGCAGAAGGCTAGAAAAACTAGATTTACAAACAAAATTTAATTGCATTTATTTTCACAAACAATTTTTAAACTACACACTTGGCTTGCCCACGTTACTAGAGACTTAAACTTTACTGGGTTCGTAAACCCACGTGACAACATTTAAAAGCAGTTGCAAAACACCTAAAATTAACCCTTGCTTTTCCCCAATACTAATTAAATCTAATCCATACAAATTTAATGTTAATCAAACAGCACATACAATATATAAAATAAAATCACTTGATGCTATGCGTGTAACGGTGGCTCTATTTTTATATATTTTTTTTTAATTTTGTAGAGCTAAGTACAGTTCAGATTTTTGAGATTTAAGCGTTGGAGCAGTTTAGGCGTTACAGTACATGGTGGAAAACTTACAGTGTTGATTGGTCAATAAATTTTACGACGCGTGGAATTGCAAAGAAAGATTCGTATGTGAGTAATGGAATTAACAATAGTCTTTTCCACGACTTTTGATTTTTATGGAGTATTGTATTTTTAATGGGTTCCGGAGTTTGTAGGCTCCAGTGAGTCGGAGATAAATTTGATCTTAGTAGGGTTTTCATTGCAAAGATAACTGACATCGTATCACGAGGCGCTGAGAAAGTAAAATTCAGAACGTAGTTTTTTTAGATTCGTAGAGCCGGAGATCAACAAAAAATGTGGAGTGCTGTCTCATCGTCTGTGTAACATACTCTACCTATAAGATGGCGATTCTACCAAATCCATGCGGTGCATGTGTTTGTTTAGTTTGCAGTGCCTAGAAAGTGTGCCCACGAGTAACCTCAGGTTCTTTCTTGATAGCCCTTTACATAAACGCGCCAGGTTACGAGATTACTTATCTTTCAGACGCAGGGATGCCAGAGTGGCCTGTTCTCTCACGAGGAGATCTAGTGGAGGCAGACCCAGAAGAGCCTCCACGACGGCTGTGGGAGTTCTTCGCATCGCCCCTGTTCAAGCAAGACACGCAAGTCTTGCACATAATTAAGAAGTGCTTCATTTGTGGAGTGTAGTTCTAGGCCACCAGGCAATTGCTGCATAGGAGAGTGTAGGTCTTAATTCAACAGTATACAGTCACAAAGGATGGTCCTCAAAGTCTACCAATTGCGCGGCGACTTTACCAGAAAGTCCTATTTGCTTTTCCAGCATTGAATTAGATATGTTTGCTCCAATCCACCCTACGACACAGTGCAGGGCTGATTCTGTAGATCTTTCTGGGGAGCATGCGTATTGGTTAGGGTGCAGCGGAAACCGTGTTACCGCCGTATTCCTTATATATTCCTTATGTGTCACAGCCTTTCAAGTGTCTTAAGAAGAAAAGACATTAAACTGGTTGGGTGATATGCTTTAGGTATAGAGTAATCACCTTTGCTAAGTTTGGAGATAAAGACAATATTTACCTCTCTTTATTGTTTAGGTATGTATCTGAAAGCGATACAGCCCGTATATATTCTCACTAGATAACACATCCAGTCCCCATTACAGGAGGTACCATCTAACTGGCACCAGTCATTCTGAGTGGGAATGAAGACCCTCTGGCCAGTTGAGGTATGGTGCTGTGGTGGCTCCGTGAATGTCGACGTCTCACCACCTCGACTGTCTCTGAACGGTTGTCCGTGTAGGAACCATCCTCTCGTCTGAGGCTAGCTGGGTTGTAACATGAACCTTTTGCGAGAAAACTCTTCCAGGCCTCTCTCTCACGCCTCCTAATATCCTTCTTATATAGTCTTAGATTTACTCTCCCATGTGGCATGGTGAGCATTTTAGACACACTCTATAATTTATTGTTTTTCTCACGGTGTGCTATCAGTTTTGCTATCTCATATCATATCGGTTCGGGTGAGTTGCTGCTGGAGCAAACACTGACCACAGGTTGCGCAATCGGGCATTTTTCTCCTCTTCTGCTCAGCGCCGGAAATGCGCTTGCGTGGTTTGGTGCGGTGTTGAGGCTCGGCGACCTGCAACATAGGCTGAGGGGTATCCTAGGACGCTCCCTCTGGTTTAGTGTTTTGATCTAGTCCCCCATCGACCACGGAGCCCAACAAGGTGACGTCTATCCAGACGCCAGGCCTAAAGAGGGTTTTGTCTTTAGTCTTGGGGCCGTCACTATGGCCATCATATGCTGAGTCGAGACTGGCGTTACACGCCCCCTTGATCACTGAACCACCCAAGGCCACACAACCACAACATGGCCCAACACTGAGGGGGGAAAATAAGACAATGGCAAGTAAAGGAAGTGTGCAAGGAAGAGATATAAGAAAGTTTTGACGAAGTAGAATATGAAAATAGACATAATGGACCATCAAGACCCCCCGCTATCCACATACTGGGCAGAAGAATACATTGGTTAATTGCGTCGTCTTTCAATTCAGAAACAATAAATTACTGTTGACTCTTTCTCGTATATATCTTATCCCAAAAATACCTAACTATTAGGTAGTAAAGATTCTGATTTGCATGCCAGACACAACAAAAAAGTAACGAATCATTACAAGAGCGAAATAAACAGCTATTATAGTGTCATTAATTTGAAGGGTTTCTAACAAGAAGTTTGCTTCGAACTGATTGCACTGTCTTGAATGTAGCCCAATTATAGTTTAATTTAGAAAGTAGACTACATGATGAGTTTTATGCATGAATGAGCTAAGCTGGGTTTTCTGTCTGGAGGTCCCCTTTTTGAAGACGATTAACCTTGCAATCAATATGCGTGCGATAAATGTTCATATAACGCACCTTTTGTTATCTACCACCAATTACGGCCTTTTTCAATTACACGTTCAATAAGCGGACGAGGAACGCCGAACGAGTTTATTATCGCAATAATAAGTTTAAACATTTTCAATTACGTTTCGAACAGTACCGTAATTTCACTTTTCTACAAGATTGTTCGAGGTGATAGCGAAAAGTGTACCGCCCCACCGTGTTCTCTGTGTGTACTCGTCCTCTTATGTTTCTTATCGTAAAGTTTCACTCCAATATTAGCCGGTTTTTAATTTTATCGCAAATGACGTTCGTGTGTGAACGTGTTATACAGAGTGCCTATTTTCGTTCTGTTGCTAAATAACTAATTGCCAAACGGTTACGTGTACGTAAGTGCAATTAAGTGATCTACAGTAATGTTTATATTAAAATTGACGTCGCGTTATCCCTATTTCGACAATAATAATTCAGTTTGGGTGTTTGATTTAGTTACATAGTGCCACTTTTGATTACAGGATTTTAGTAATAGCTGCGCGTAGAGCAGGTAAATGTTATTGATATATTTAACGTATATATCCTAATTGTTCCAAATTAAGAAATTCGAATGGCGATATTGCCAAGAATTTGTCGCCGTGTTTATGTTATCAAAATTAATCTTAGCTCTCTGTGCAATATTATTATAAAAGTGCAAGTTTCATGGTTAATCCAATGCACCTTCGGAAAAATGAAAGATTTGTTATGCAACCTTGATCTTAATCTCATTTATCACGGTTACCGTTTTATAGATTTAGTTTTATGCACGTCTCTTTCTCAAACTATTAGGTACAATCTCCTTCTAAGAATGTTTATATGTCAAATAGACTAGCGATAAGATAATTTTGTTTTACATCATTCTTCAAGCAAACGTAATTCTTATTCTTAGCAAAACATTTTACGACCCAGGGACAGCTGTCAAAATACTACTCAATGTCGCTTTCAACAATTTTTCAAAACCGAGCTTCGTCACAAAACTCCCAAATAGGGTATATTTTAACGGCTCACGTAAGATCTACAGGTAATCCCTAGATCATTCAAATTACGTCACCATTATATTGTTATAAATAATATTCAAAACTCTTTGTTCATGCAGTTGCATGGCAATAAAAAAGTGGGAAATGATTTATTGCATGTGCGCTGTGTTCGTGCACGATACGATGCGAGATGTCAGTCGCATTTCTATTCAATTATTTAAAAATATCTACCCAACGAATAGGCATAACAGGTGCCACATTAAATTTACTCAATGTTTGAATTCCCTTGTAATAAACAAAAGTATTAATAGGCCGAGATTTTCTATTTGAACATTTTTAGTTATAAAGGTACGCACATTCTTAGCCAAGCTAAAATTACACCCTTTCAAATGTGAGGGTCGTGAAGATTGCACAGTCAATTGAACCAAGTGTTCTTCAGTGAAACAGTTCTGAAGATCATTAATATGTACCTAATACTAAAAGTGAGAATCCGAATTTAGTGAACAGAAATAATGAACAATATACCTTCAATGTATAAATCGAGGTATAAATATAATTTCTAACATAAATTTGATAATTTTCATTTGTCATTGTGGACCAAAGCGTTCCACACTCGGTTCCACAATGAAACACATATTAAAAATTTAAATGAAATTAAATTCTAGTCACTAGTGCATATAATGTTGAAATGAAAATACATATTATAATTTATACATTATTTATTAATCGTATCACCAGACTTTGTTTCGAAGTTTATATGCGTGTTGTCGTTTTGTTCTGCCAAATAGCCTTGGCTTTGGTAAGATTTTAATGTCATCTTGCATGTGGCCAGTGGCGTAACTGCTTTTAGGGGCCCTTTCACTTACGCTTAATTTAACCACTTGGATTTCCAATGACAACCGTCTTACATTCTTACAAATATTAATGGAAGTTCATTAGAAATACAGTCCAAAAGATTCAGATTCTTTAACAAAGATAACATCCTCATCGTCAGCGGAAAAAAAATCCAATGAAAAAACAGCCACGGAAAAAAAATCCTACGGAACAAAAATCCACCGGAAGTATAATCCATAGAATAATAATCCATGGAAACATAATCCATGGAAAAATAATCCATGGAAAATTAATCTATGGAAAAAGTACAGGATTTACCATCCAAGGAAAAAACGGAAAAACATCTACGGAAAAATCTGTATGAGAAAAAGGGAAGTACCTAAACCTGTGATAGCGTTACGTAAAAAAAAACAAAATAAATGCAAAATATAATAAGTTTTAATAACAACTAGGGCCAGGGCGTACTGTTGACAATACAAAATATGTATAAAGAAATGAAGTATAATAGTTTCAATGAACTATGTAAATCGAATAGTATGACCTACGGCTAAAATGAAATCTTCCATAGTTCGGGCCCCGTCTCTGTATTCTACGCAAAGGGTGTTTAGTCGTCTCTGCAAGTTTTCAGTTGTGGTGCATTTCTTCTTCGGCTGTACATTTCCAACGCCATATTGTAACAGTTTTGTGACATCGGATGCTACTTCTAATCGCATCTTGACAATCAAGGTCCAAATGGTAGGATGTTTATGACCAATAAGTTTCGAAAATCTGTGATTCCACCCTTCAACTTGATTATTGGTACGTTGCCCTCCGGCGATAGTTGTTGCATTCACATTCCAAATCTCCGGAGGGAAAGGAGGTGGAATGTTACGAACTCTCAAGGGCCCCTGTCCATTTGGATTACCTAATCGGCGGAAGGTGCCATGTACGTAAGTGGTATCAAAATAATCAACCAACTCCTCTGCTCCTTCGGAGATTACAGTTCGCAAATAATCCATTCCTCTTAAAACATCTGCTACAGGTAAGAAAGCTAGACCGTTCAGCATACCACAAAATAAATTAAATTCTTCATTTTCACGATAAAATGTCTGTTCGCCTAGGGACTGAATCTTTCGGTACGTGCTTTGATTAAGGTGGTAAAAACAACCACGTATTTGAACATGCTCTCCGAGAATACCTTTTGCAGCCTGAATCATGCTTTTTTCAAAATCCATGTTAACAGTTAGTGGATCTGGATATAGTTCTCTTGAATTACATTCTTCCATTAGGATACATAACATGTTTTCATACGTTGCTTGCGTTTTATGTTGCAATAAAGCATAAACAGCTGTAATGTAAAGCCCATGTACGGCAATCCTTATAACGTATAATTGCTGAAAATTTTTCGGGGCGAGCGAAAAATTGCCATCCATGTACCATGCTGTTGCCGCAGATAGGTGCCGCAGATTTGATTCCGTTGCAAATATCACAATTCGTTCCTCCGCATCTTGTCCGTTATCGTGAAGAAGGGAACGATCGTATTCCGGATCTCCGGTTGTACACCATTGAATAAAGCTCTTTATTCAATGATAGTACCTATTACATATTAGTATTAATTTAGTCAGTTTAGTGTAATGTGTAATAATTGACCTATACAGGGTGATTCAAATTCAAAGGCCACCATGGGGATCTCGGGAACTGTAAGAGATAGGTAGAGGTAGTTTACATTTGACAAAGTTACCCTTGATGGTAACATCATCTATTTTTAATAAGAAATAACGTTAATTCGTAAAAACGCAAGAAACTACTTACGTACGTTACTTAAGACAAAGGCAAAAAAGATATTTTACAAGCATTTGAAGAATGCAAGTAAGAGGATGAAGAAAAGAATGCATTAACCCATCGTTAAGTAACAATCCTGATAATTGCCTACAATATAATTTAGAAAATTAAGCCAGAAAAGAACACTGTTCTTTTAATTTAATATACATTCTTTTTTCCTGACTGTTTTTTCCTGGATTTTGTTTCCGCTGACTTTTTTTACCTGGCTTATTTTTCCGCTGGTTTTTTTTCCGTGCCTCTTTTTTCCTGGCTTTTTTTTCCGTAGTTTTTTTTTTCATTGGATTTTTTTTCCTAGAATTCCATCCTCATATCGATCTTCTGACGTTACTCGACTCTGACTTTCTAAAAAAGCTTGATTGTTAGGACTAGCTGCAGGAATTGCTTGTGAAGGTTTCGGGAATTGATCAATTTTGGCCAACTTATATTATCTTCGATGTGCAGAGTTTTTTTTTTGCTTTTCTTTTGGAGATCCCACTGGTATTTTCGTCCACTCTGAGAAGTATTTTTTAAAAATTTCAAACGACAAGTAGTGTTGACGTATATTGTAGGTATATATAGTCCAGTCAAATTAGCTTTAAAAGTAGTATAAACTGGGTGTTGTAATTTCACTCAACGAAACCAAGCGTACCCTATGTAAAAAAAATCCGCTGAATCGGAAAATCATAGTCCCCCTGGCCGGAAATGCCCGGAACATATTGTTGTTAACAAAAAACGAAGAAAAAATGACTTCGAATATCTCGTTAACTATTGCTCTGAGGGAGAGAATGAATAGAAATGAACTTGTTTACAATAAAATTTTCTATCTGATACAGTTGGTCCGGAATGCCCATTTTCAATTGTTATTGTTTTTTATAAAAAATGTGAAAAAATAATCTCTAATATTAACAGTTTGTTATTACCAAGTAAAATTCAACCGATATTTTTAAAAATCCGTATTTAGTAACTTCTTTTGATAACAAAACAATATGACAAACCCGATCCCCGTAAGTTTCATAGTAATTGATCAATTAGATTAACAAGTAATAGTATATTAAAGTATAAGTGGATATTAAGGTCTTTAAAACACGCGCGATTTTTCGAGCACGACGGCGTAGCCGGAGTGCTCGAAATAGAGCAAGTGTTTTAAAGACCAGTTATCCACGAATACTTTACGCTATTTTTTTTTATTACTACACTTTAAAATCGTCATAATTCCATAAAAATGGAAATAAGAACTAATACAAAATATGGTTTAATTAGTGATATAAAATCAGTATACCTTCCGTTGCTATGAAAATGAGAAAAACAAGAAATATTTTGAAATCTGTCACATCCTACTTTATTGTTGTCATCACAGTTATATGTGCTTATAAATGCTTAAAAATGAATTCTAACATTGATTGCTTAAGTAGAAAAGCAGAATCGCGGTTGATACCGCAAAAATCAGAAGACGCATATAAACGAGAGTACAAGTTTGTGTATTTGAAAACATCTGTTAGTAATATTTGATTTGAAGTTGCAAAGTATTCCTGTCAGATCAGTAATGAAAAAGTTGACATTTACTTCAATTTTGATGTTGTCATGGTAACTTTAAAACACGCTGAGGCGTACTTTAAATAAGCAATATAGGGTACCAATAAAAAAAAAAAATGGATGCTTTGTCTTTCAAACTGGGGGACTCCAAGAGCGTTCCCAATTTTTTAGCGTAACACAACGAAGTTGAGGTAAAGCTTATGTGCTCGTGTTTCCGTCCGTCCGTCCGTCCGTCCGTCCGTCCGTTCCATCGAGATCTCGGCCCCTGGGCCACCTAGAGACTTCGGGTTTTCGCTAATTGATAGCTGTTATGGTTTATATTTGCCCAATTCGATCAGTTTCATTTAACTCCATATTTTGCGCAGAC